TGTCCTGGAACTTCTGGTCCACCTGGAACCTCTCTCATCTGTATCAGGGGCGACTAGAATCCCCAATTCTAGTTCCCAATTTCACCTGCCACCTGTTTCCACTTGTCTCCCTCACTTTGTCCCATCTTCTTCCTTGTTTCTCCCCCCGGGCACAACAAACTTAAGCCTTTGCATCCTGGTCAGGCTGGTTCTTCCTGTTCTTTCTTACTGCCTAACAGGTACAGATATTACACTTTTACTGGTACAAGTGATTGGAAACTGGTCTCTGCCTGTAACAGAGCAGAAGTTTGGTACACAGACTGGTTTAAAAATGGCAAAATGCAGTATAAGCTTTGCCACCCCCACCAAAGGATGAATGTGTGTTCTGTTCACTACTGATCTAAACTATGCTGCTTAGAGAAAACCACATAATGTAGATTGATTCTGCCTTGGACTTTTTGAATGTCAGTATGTTGCCAGGAGGGGGAGCACTAAGAGCACAGGAGAGACCATCAGTTCTGATGCCTGGTGCCACAATGGCTGTTAGTAATTATGGCTAGGGACAGACATTCAAAAAAGCTTGAGCCTGAATTGATTCAAGCTTTGCAGGTTGTCTAACCTGGCTAGGCTGAACCAGTTTGTAACCAGACAGACATTGTCTCTGGATTGAGATAATTCAGGCACATGCCTGCAGTGGCTCAGGCTAGAAGCTACAGGGTGCTAGAGCAGCCCTCCCTTCCCTTTCACAGTACTAAACTGAGGGAGGACATGGCCAGGCCCTGGCAGGACCTCTGATTAGGGAGGTCTGCATGCACCATCCCAGGCTTTTCCCCGCTGGCTGCTCAAAGGGTGGGAGTGTTGCCAGCCCCCAGCCCTGGGCTAGCATTTTGAGGCAAGCGGGGAGGAAGGGGACATGCGGTGCATGCCTCTGTTGATGATACAGAGCTTTTCAATCTCCCTCCCTGCTTCTTTATACTGTCTGCAGCAAACTGCCAGGCAAGCAAGCCAGCAGGGGGATGATAACAGTGTTTATCACCTCATTGGCAAAACAATAGCCTCTCTCCATTAGTTCAAACTCTTCTTAAACCGCTTACCGGCTGACCTGTTGATTAGCTCTAAAAAGCCCTAAGTGGTCACTGTTCTGTCTGTCTGTCCCAGTGAAATTGGAGACACACACACAGACATCTCTCAGCATTACTAGCATATCACATGCCTAGGGTCTGTGGAGCTTGGGTTTGTGCTGTGGGAGATGGAAGGAAGGGAGGAAGGGGGGGATTCCTGCTCAAGCAGTGAGCAGCGAGGTTGGGAGTAGAGCAAGGGGAAGCCAGGCAGACCCTGCTGTACCTGTAGTCTGTGCCAGAGCTCTAGCCAGGGAGAAGAGGGGAGGGACCAGCTCTGCTGTGGAGCAGAGAGCTCTGCCAAGCCCAGAGAGCATGCTGGGATGCTGGGGGAGTTTGGTTTAACTGGTTAAACCAGCAAGGGGTCTGGGAAAGACATTGCATAAACCCGTTTGAGCCAAATCAGTTAAATCTGATACTACATTCAACCAAGTTTATTTCAAACTGGTTTCAGCCATTTTCAAACTGGTTTATGAGCACTGAAAATCTGTTCTGTTACAGGTTTAAACCAGTTTCTTATCACTTAAACCAGTTTATGTGTAATGTGTGTCCCTAGCCTATGAAAAGTAACTGCTCTGCCCTTGCATTCCCCCTTCACCTCCCTCCCTGCTGCAGCAGACACAGTCATTCTATGGGATAGTATGCACAGTTTAGTCATGTGGAGGTGCTGTGAGGGGATGGGCATATGCTCACTTCAGTGAACAAATCTCTACTGAGCATGTGTGAATGAAGATTTTTTCAGAGGCTTAAAACTTGGCCAGGCTTGGGTATATTTTATGGCCATAGCAATAAGGACAACAGTGTCAACCCCACTCCCCTGTCAAACTTCAAATCCTTATTCCCAAGTGTAGAGATGCTACAGCTTCTCAATGAAACAGCTGTGACAATTTTGTAAGACAGTCAAAACATGTGTTTCTCTATCCTTCTGGGAAATGACCAAACCTTTTTTATTATTAAAAAAAATGCTTGAGGCATATACTTGTTATGGAAACTTTCAGACTGAAGGGTTAAAATTTGATAGTTAAGGTATAAGGAACTGAATGCAGGGTCAAAGAATGGACAGTGTTGGCTGTCTTGACTATAGGAAGCACTTCCTGTGTCCTGTATAATTATGCAGCTCCACTGGTGTTCGCAAGCATCTGATCATGTCCTCCAACCATGAATCCAATAAACTAATCATGGCTTGGAAGTTTAAACCTTGTTTTCTTTTTCAACCAAGCATACTCTTGCTAATGAAGAGAAAACAACGGCAAATCAACTGGTCTGAATTACAACAGAGTAAATACAGTGTGACTACATTTCTGGGCGTTGATTGCATTCAGCGTATAATCACATCTCCCCTGCTCAATGGGGAATAAATAACAAGTAGAAGGAAGGGTGGAAAAACTTACGGTTTAGGAAATATAAAACAGGACTGAGAAGTGCACTAGAAATTAAAACATAAAAATTATGATAACTGGTAAGGGGGCAATTAAATTACCAAGGAGGCCTGACTTTCCTGGATTTCTGTAAATTTACCCTTCTAGGCTTCTGGGATGAAGGCAGCTGAAAGAATAAGATGAGATTACTCATTGACCATTTAGGTATTTTGCTTCCTTTCTCCACTCACTAGTTCCTAGTTAATATGGATCTTGTCCCAAGACATCTCATCTTTACTGTTCAAAATACTTAATACATTTATTAGCAGCTTCTGTAGAGAATTCTGGAGTTTCCCCTCCCTTTAGGAAAATACTGTCTGAACATCTCTTTGAGTCTTATATAGCGTTTTCAACAGAATTAAATGCAGCACTTGATTTATATAAAAATATCATCTCTGTGTCACCAAACAACAGTGCTGCTGAAATAATTTTTTTTAGAAACTGAATCTGAAACCTAGCCAGGTGTGCACAACTTTAGAGCTGAGCTTTTCTCTTATCAGATTGCTCTGCACTGTATGAAGAATCAGGCCAGCTACAGGTCATTTGCAAGCAGCTCTGAAAGGCTGAGTTTAGAAATGCACTATAGACATACTTCATTTCTTAAAGTCAAAAATAAATAAATACCTCTTGAACAGGTTTAATACAATATTGCCCTCTGTTGGCAAGCCTTTTTATATAACTGATCTGTAGAATTCTATAATGTATCAGTAGCGTAAGAGTGATGTTGTATCCATGATGGCCCAGGAATTATGCAGAGACAAGGATTTCTTTGGGTGATATCTTTTATTGGACCAACTGCATAGTTGGAATAGAGTTAGACAAGCTTTTGAATGCAAGACATCAGGTCTTGCATTTGAAAGCTAGTCTAACTCTATCCCAACTATACAGTCCCATAAAGGATACCACCCTAAAAAATCCTTATTTTTCGTGTAATGTATCAGGGCAGTTTGAATTTGAAATTAGAAACAAAGCATAAGAGTCCATTTCTGATTTCCAGTGAGACCCAGCAGGGACCTGTATTACAGCAAAGTGTTTCTACTTCCTTTGTGTGGATGAGAAAAAGAAGCACAGTTTAATTTAGAAACTAGCACTTCACACATATGCTATACATAAAATAACACTATGCACAACTCATATCCTAAACACCCTTAAAAATAAAAAGGGTTGGTACATCAGCTATTATTCCTGGGTTAATATATTTTAAATCTCATACCTTGAATATATTTCAGTAACAGATTGAAATGCTAACAGAAAGACCCACTATACATTTATCCTACAGCGTACCACATTCAGGGCACGTCTACATGAGATGCTATGTTGCTGTAGCAACAAGTAGTCGGGGGCACATACAGATGCACGCACAGTGTACATTGTACAGAGGCAATCATTAGATCAGCTATCAGGGAAACAATATAAATACTACTCTTCTCCCCTAAATAACACCACTAAGTCTTGCTTCAGGTCTCCTCATAATACTGTATCAAAACAAATTAAATCCAAGACATCACAATCCTGTTATATAGTGAATGAAGTCATCATTTTGTTAATACCACTGTTTATCCTGTGACACCTTAATAGAATGCCTCTAGCATGATTTCAACTGTTTGAGACTTGGAAGATTTGCATTCATCAAGAAGTGGATCTGGAACCATCACAGCTGAGAGGAAGCTCCTCGGTTGAGTACCTCTAAGTAGTATTTTAATGGCAGTATCAATATGATGAATGAAAGGATCTCAGTTCTAATTCTGAACTCATGCTGTAAAGTCACATGATCCATTTTCATTAGTCTATTTTTCCTTCATGCTTTTTGGAAGTAGTGTGGGCCAGGACTTAGTGAATGAACTCAAGGCAAGAGCTCCAAAGGGATATCTGCGTCTCTGTAAGTGTCTTATTTTGTGACCTCCACCAAGTCATCTGGCCACTCAGTGTTTCTGTTCGCCCAACAACAGAGCCAGCATAACAGTATTCACCAGCCCTTCCAAGAGTTTTCTGAAGCTTAGCTTGATAATGGCCTATAATGTACTCTCAGATCATTGCGCAAAAATGTGGACAAGTAAGTAGAACATAGGATTAGAAGAAGCTTCCACAGGCATCTGCTGTATTCACAGGTAACTCCTCACCCAAAGGCCCCCAAAATTGTAACTTCAAACCCTTGGATACAACTACAAGACAAAATCAGAAAGATCAAGCATACCCTACCACATGCCATAAGATAAAAGCAGGAGAGATGAGGGTGCTGCTAATGCCCTGCCACTGTGATGACAGGGAAATCATTGGTTAATTAATGTGTGTGCAGTGTTGTTAAAAACACTCTGAAGCATGCAAGCATGAGACATGTACAAAGCAATTGATTTCCTTAGCACTGTACCAATTCCCTTACTTCTTTACTGCCTTGGTCATTTGTTGCTGGAAACGTTTCTGACCTTTGTGCTTAGCATATGCTAAGAATATGAGCCCAGTGTATGAAGTCACAAAGATGTCTTACCTTTTGTTGTTCCATCTAGTCCCATGACACACTTCATGGCCCTAACGATTTGCTCTGCAACGGGGGGACACATAGATGTGGCATAAACAGAACTGTGGGAATGAGTTCGTAAAAAGTCCATAAATTCCTTAAAAAATAGAACAGAATTTGAATTAATTTTCAGCAGGTAAAAGAGCAGAACAGCCTACCAACTACAGAGGCAGTGAGAACTACTACAAAGACATTTGACTACGATTTTTTAAAAACTGATTGTCATTAAAAAGTTATGGCATGAAGAAACACAGGTGATCTTTTAGCAAGTGCAGATACTTAAAAACAGAAGCAAGGCAACCTGAGCTGAAAGAAACTATGGAGCAAAACACTATTGACTTCGATCTTGAAATTCTGCATAGAAGAGGGGGAAAAATCATTTAATTCACTAATGGACCAGAGAACAGCTGAATTTAAAATACTATGCTGTGTTACCCTTAGTAGTGATATATATAATATGCAACAGGAAAACTGTTCAGTTTCCCTTCTCTTGGACTTACCAGAAGAGAAGTAACATTACTAGTTCTATATTCACTATATTCTATGTTTAATGGAGTCCTCCAAGTTTGTCCTTAATATAAGGCTAGAACTTGATTGCCATTATACATCCCAATTACAACATACAACTAACTATGACATATTCTTTAGAGCAGGGGTATCAAACTCATCTGGGCCCACGGGCTGGATGAGGGCCATTGGGCTGGTCTGCAGGCTGGATTGGAATGCCGCACCAGAGCCAGTGCACTGGGCCAGTTTGACAGGGTGCTGCCTGCAGTGCGCACCCCCATGCACTGAGACACCCCCATGCACTGTGGGTAGAGTGAGCCCCAGAGCAGGGCCTGTGTGTGCTGCACAGGATGCCTGGGGCTGGATCAGATGCGCTGCATGTGGCACCCTGCCAGATTGGACTTGCACGCTAGCTCCAGAGTGGTCTGGTCCAGACTGGCCCAGGAACCAGCACTCTGGGTAGGTCTGGTAGGGATGTTGCATGCAGTGTGCGCCCTGGACTGACAACCGGTGTTGCATGCAGCATCCACGGTGCTAGGTGCAGCCCATGTGCCAAACTGGCTGCACATGCCCATGTGGCTGGGAATGTGGAGTGGCTGGATGTGGAGCTATTCCAGCCAGTTATTCCAGCTATTCCAGCTTTAAGGCCAGATGTCTGACACTTGGCCTTAAAGCCTCTGAAACATGTCTCTGTACAGAGTGAAAATGAAATTAAACTGTGATTAGGACAAGGACCTCACCATTTTGTTCTATGATGGGGTTTCTGGAATAAAAGTTACAGCACACTGTCCCTGAACAAGAAAGTCAGTCTTACTGGAAAGCAAAGCACAAGTTCAGCTACCATTTGACTGAGGTAGTACAAATACAAAGCCATACCTAACAATAAGTATGAAAACACAGCTCCTGGAAAGAAAAGGTGTAAATGACCTTTAGACCATGGCAGTCAGCTCCTTTCAACTTCTAAGTGTGGTACTGACATCTTTTATAACATAATTTTTCCTTGCTAATTGTACATTTACATTAATGATGATTGGCTAATGTTTCTAAAAGGTTTTGCTCCTTTAAAAAGGGATCTACATTAATGCAAAGGCAGTACCCACAAAAATTGCTGATGTCGTCTTTTAAATTTGGTGGCTTGATGGTGTCATGTTTGGCATCTTGCTCAAATCTGACATTTAAATAGCAGCCCCTGTTACAATAGGAACAGTTTGTGCTGCCTTGTTGTACTGTTAATGATGTCCATAATTTTGTGGCTTAGATGACCCAGTAAATTTTGCAATAAAATGGTTATACTACAATTCTAATAGGTGAAAAACACTGTACATAACAGTTCTTAGCAAATGGAGAAATTTTGACAATTGCTTACACAGGATAAATTCACTTACTTTAAGGCCTAAGGCCTCATACTAAGCCTCTGAACTTAATCTGATTATAAAATTAGTTCTACCACTTTGAATCACTGCACTCTGGCCAACCAATACTAACTTAAGGAGGACTCTGTAAAAATATGGACTTATACAAGTAGATCTGACGGCTGATTTTTAGGGCCAGATCTGGTGAAAAAGCCTTTCCTACTCCCTATCCCAGTTTGAGAACAAGATACAAATGAAAAATTATAGGTTGGAGGCCTACATAGAGGAGAAAGAGGTTTCAGACTTACTCTTCATGGCAGAATTTTACCAGCTATCCTGATATTTTTTTCCTGTTTATACTGGCAGAATTGTCCTCCCCCATCTGCGTATTCCTGTTCCAAGTGACATGATTTGTTTGTAAACCTCTTTCCCAGGCAATATAAGCTGAACCAAAAATAACATGAGTGTCTTCATGGGTTTATATCTGTTTAAATTAAACTATACCCAAAAAATGTTCTTGACATTCTCCCTTTGCACCTGGACATAACCCAAAATGGAGGTAATTTGGCCTGAGGAATTCTTGCAAGTTTGGCTAACCATTTCAGAATTAGTTTCACAACCCTGACTTACTTCAGAGCTGTTACATGAAAAAACATAAAAAAGCTGTTAGATTTTAGTCAAAGAGGAAGGCATAGAAAAAAAAGAACAAAATTAGTTTAACTTGGTACTAATTTGCTGTGAACTGCAATAAACACTTCTAAAATAACTTTATTGTACGTGACTAGAAAGGGAACTTTTGAAAGTTAAGGGATTGCCAAAGAATAAACCAGCTTGTTCTTTGTATTTTTTTCCCTGCTGTCTCCTGAGCTACAGAAAAAAGTTTTCAAGCTCAAAAATTATAGTTGGCTATTAGCAATTATTCATTTGCTTATTAATATTAAATAACAGAATGAAATGAAGTTGTGTATACTGCAGTAGTCTTAATGCAAACACTGTCTCTTAGTGCTATCAACTCTGAGTCCCAGAAACAGGAGCTGTGGGAGAGTCTGTATGTCAGGTGGGTACCAATGTTTACACATATTTGAGCAATAACTCAGAAAAAAGAAAGAAAAAAAGAAAGAGCTTAATGCTACTCTGACTCTGGGTCCTTGTATTCAAGTGAAATAAGATGAGAATATAGCACCCACCTTGGATGGTAGCTAGCTAAAAGCAGAAATGACAGGATCAATTGCAGTGTTTAAAGCAATTCAGTTGGAAACCAAAAACAACAACTTGGGCAAACAGGTTGTTTCCTCTCTACCAGCTATTTCCCTATCCTCCTACTCTGACTCAGGATCCTTGTATTCAAATCCAAAACAAGGATGAATGGAAAAAAAAACCCTTGTCTTGGATTCGAGTAAATACGGTAAAAACAAGACATTCATAGCACAGGGTCTCAGTGGCAAAAAAGAATTCTTCAGTATTCTCCAATAGTAGTCAGTAGTTCACTGGAAGAGCAGTATAGGAAGTATTAAATTAACAAAACAGAGATACTAGTTTAAAAAGAAAAGAAGAAATAGATTTTGTACTAAATAGGAGGCCTGTGCAAAGCAGCTAATATTTGCTTGGTGATTTGAATCACTGTCCCAAATCGATTCAGCTGCTGCTGAATCTCTGAATCACCCAGGTCCATCCCCTGCCCGATCTCCCAGCCCCCACCATGGCTGCCTGCCCCAGCTCCTGGCACTTTGAAAAAAAAAAGCCCCAACTCACCTGGTGCTGCCCTGTGGGGAGTGGCGGGGGTGATCCCCACTGCCCCCCACTGTCCCACGCTGCATGGAGGGCTCTGCATGCAGCCCCCTGACTCCTGCCTGCTCCCCCAGCCCCCTGCCATGGCTGCTCTGCCCACCTGAGCTCCAGCCCTTTAAGAAAAAAAAGAAACCAAAAAAATCCCGGCCTCACCGGCTCCTGCCCAGCAGGGGGGCGATCCCCTCTTCCATGAGCCCCCTGAAGCCCCAAGGCCGCTGCAGGAGCTGATGAGCCCGGGGGGGATTTGTTTTTGTTTTTCTTCAAGGGCCAGAGCTCAGGTGGGCAAGGCAGCCATGGGGGGTGGTGCTGGGGGAGCCAGAGGGGGTCAGGGGGCTCGTGGCAGAGCCCCCCAAGCAGCGTGGGGCAGTGAGGGGCAGCAGAGATTGCCCCCCTGCCAGGCAGCACCCAGTGAGTAGGGGCTTTTCTTTAAAGCGCCGGGCCCTCCGCCCTTCTCCAGCCCCCCTCCCCTGCCCCATACTTACCAGCTCCAAGTCCGGCTCTCAGTGGCAGTGAGCGGGGACTGCCTGAATCACTGAAGCTCTCCGAATCTTTTCCAAATTGAGTCAGAGAGCTTCAAATCAATTCAGACCTTTTTATTGGTCCCCTGATTCGATTTGGATTTGGAGAGTTGGCCACCAAATCAGGACGAATCTCCTCTGAATTGAATCAGCAGGTGAAGCTTTGCACAGCCCTACTAAATAGATTATCTACAAAATTATGTAGGGCAGAGCAGAGTACTCTTAACTTACAGCCAATGCGTGTCTCTATCTTTAAATGGCAAACATGTTAAAGACAGCACTGTAAGGAGAAATTATAGAATTAAAGATACAATATTATTTGCTGCACTAATTAAAGGAGCATCTAGACTCTATACTTGACCAGTGGGTATACTTCAGACCATAGTGTAGCTAGAGAAGGAAATGGGATGCCTGCATCCCTTGCTGTCTTTATACACTCGAATCGGCATATATAATTGGTAGAAATCTGGGAACTGAGAATGGTATATGGCTAGATTGGACCAAGTCTCTATAAAATCCAATAATCTATCCCCAATACTAAAGAAAATAAGGTGACTCCTGCCTTTGCCCTCCACTAATATGTCATGCCTATGGGCTAGTTACAAGGATAGCTGTGCTTCTGACCTCTCTTTGGTCAGCACAAATGTATTTCCACTCATGTCTGAATTCATGCCTTCACTTCTAGGGTGAACTGATTTGATTCTAGTTTGGGCCCTGGGCTACAGTATTCTTGTGGAGAGATCGTGCCTACCCAGCAAGTCCGACTGGGTTTGGCATCTACAGTTCTCCCCTTCGGGAGACTGTGGCCAGTGGGTAGACAGCTTTCTTAAAGCAAAGCATTGGCTATTCTTAACAGTGGGAATACAGCGTAATTTGAGAGCAAAAGCCTTTAAAACAACAAAAGGCCTCCATGTATTCTGTTCTTCTTAAAGTCCTATTATCCTTTAGTAGGGACTCTGAGAAGGCCTCAGTTTTGCAGTTACTTCTAACCTGAGCAGTCCAAGTATTAGGCCCTTGACACACTTTACACTTAAGATGTATTTAACCAGATAATCACATCTTAAAGCCATATGCTAATGCAATTAATAGTGTTATAAAACAAGGAATAAGTCGCAAAGTTATTACACAAAAAATGTGTAATAACTTTGTGGTAATTTTTTATCATGTCACTAATTGTGTGGCCAGGCTGGGGCTCCCAGCTGCGGAGGGAGAGAAAGGGGAATGGCACCCTGTGCTCCCATGGCTTGGTGCCCCATCAGCTGATCCAGGCTTGCAGCTGCAGTTGCACCCACACGGCTGATAGCCTGATCAGCTGATGGGGCTCCCAGCCGCAGGAGTTTGTTACTTCCTGGTACAAGGGGAGCCTGGGACCCTGCACTTGCAATAAGGCGTAATGTACATGGCAGGAAGCGTGATTGTGAGGACTGCACATCAGATCCTGTTGTGCCTTTACTTAGCCAGTTTTCCTTCACTGTCTCTCTACCTCCTGCTTGAGGGAGTGTGTCCATTTAAACCTAATCAGGGTTTTGCTTTTGTGTATTCACAAGTTTGGATTCGCTGCCCCTAAATGCCCCCTACAAAACTACTCTGGTGACTTCATTAAGGGCTTGGAAGTAGAACACCAAACAAATGGATCTTGCCTTGTCTGTGAGGTGTTGGTGGTTGAGTGGCTGTCTCAAGCCACTGTTTCTCTTTCTGTTTCTTTTTTTGTAACAGCCTGCTATTAAAACTAGACAAATATATTCATATAGTAAATATTAGGGGTGTATTGATAAACATTTTCTTGGCTGAAACCAAGAAACCAATAGCCAATTATTCACCAGGAATATCAGCCAATACTGATCTGATAACTGACTTACAGGAATGCAGCTGGGCAGCATGGAGAGTGGCGTCCTGCAGGTAAGTCTGTGGAAGGGAAGGAGCATGGAGTGGGGGCAGATCGAGACCCCCATGGTGAGGTAGGGTGTGGGACAGGGGCAGGGGCTGGGGCAGGGAAGTGAATAGCACCTTGGGGGAGTGGGATGGAGCTGCGGGTAGCTAGTCCACTGTGGGCTTGGGGCTCTTCACCCTGCTGCCTTTGCTCCAGGAGCTGCTGCCTGTCCAGCAGCAGAGGCAGCAGCAAGCTGTGTCTCCAGCTGCTGGATGGGCAGGGGATGAAGCGTGACCAGTGCCGCTCCTGAGGCAGAGGCAGCATGGCAGAGAACCATGAGTGCACAGCAGGCAGCCTTCCTCCGCCCTTATCACACTCAGCTTTGTTCCAGTTAAAAGTGACCAGCGCTTAAAAATGGTGGCAAAGACCTGGCTTTTAAAAATGGTGGCATTAAATGAGCTTTAGTTCAAGTGCCCCCACTGCCATTTTTAAGCGCCAGGATGCTGATCCCATGGACAAGCATCCCACGGCTCCGTCTTGCTCCTCCAGGGTCCCATTCACCTGCTCCCTCAGGGTCCCATGGGGCCTTGATCTGCACCCCCCCCGAATCCGCATTCCCCTCCCCAGACCTACCTGCAGGGTGCTGTTCTCCATAGTGCCCAGCTGCATTCCTGGCTGGTGCGTGCATGCAGCTGTGTGCACGTACGCGGTGTCTGGGGGCCTCAGCCAGAAGGCATAGTTATTGGTACATTATCAGCTATACCAGTCTAAAGAAGCTGAAAGGCGATAATGTTAATTTTCCTTTTATCGGTGCTGATCTGATATGGCACCAATATATTGGGACACCTCTTGTAAATATCCCACTAACCACATCCCCTACAGTAGTTATAAGTTACTACAGAGCAGTCTTACATCTGCTATATGAAGTGCAGGCAATTCTTTGTCATCTGATGCTCTGAAGCCTTGTATGAGCATATATACACATTAAGGAAAGTAGATTAAATATTTTTACTCTTTCCAATATAGGTTTAATCTGTGTGCAGTTAAGTAACAGGCACCTATATATGTGCTGGAAGTCTGCTGTGATGTGTGCTAATTAGCATGCTCCAGCAGCCTCCACATCATGAGTATTCAGCATCTCTGTGCTTCAAAATGGTGGTGGGGTACTTTAACAAAATCTCATCCAGTGAGCTTTAGTTAAGGTGCCCCTGCTTCCATTTTGAAGCGTAAGACACTAAGTACATGTGACTCTGTGGGAGTGTTAATTAGAGCGACTCTCAGAGCTGCTCTAATTAACACCCCCCCAGAGCACGTGTAAAGACGCCCCTTGATTGAATCAATGGACAGGTGGTAAATGTAGAAAGCTTAACATTCTCAACTCACCTGGAGCTGAACAATGATATTTTCATGTCAGGCATTTTCTTGTATAAACAACACTCTTAGCATTGTATCTAACTAAAAAGTTAAAAAATTAGGCTGCATGGTGAACAGAACAGGAAATAGGAATTACTATGACAAAAGGGATGAAACGGCTATTTTATTTTTTTTACGGACACCGTTGATGATACTTTGAAGCACTTTTAGGATATGTGTATAGAAAACATGATTTGGGTTTAGCTTTACAATTTGTCTTACAAGGTGGATAGTGAAGGTTAAATTATCAAAATGATTTTTTTTTGATGGGCATCCACATTTCTTAAAATGCATTGGGGCCATTCTCTGCTTCTAGTGCTATAAAGCAGGAACAGCCTTTACAGTGCTATAAACCAGGAACAACCACAACAGCATCAAAGGAATTGCCACAGTTTTGTGCCAGTTCAGCTGCAAGCCACATTTATACCTGCAGCAAACTCATTATAGCTCTTGAGACAGATCCCAAGTGTCATAGCTCCACTAATGCTAATGATAGCATGACAACTCATAGTTTCACAGAAACCAGTGAAATAATGCCAGTTCACAATCTCAGGGAATCCGTCCCATTCTTCATATAACAGTTTAATAGTATACATAAACAGACACACGCAGCTGCATCTACATGTTAACAGAGGCTGGAGTTCAGTCTGTTTGACGACTTCAACCTGAACAGAAGGAAAAGAATGGAAAACTACCAAATTGCACAACGGTGCTGCTCATGCTTTCTTTTTAGCTTGCTTTTTGCCATTTTACCATGCTTTCTTTTTCCAGTTACATCATGTACAGCTGCACTTGCTGTTGATTTTTGTCATCAACAAGAAGAAATGTTCTGGATGGACATGGGGCTATTGAGTGCATATTGTTTGCTACTGCAAAACTTCCTTGGCAAAAGAATTTCTCCACCAACCTCAAAAGTGAGAATGAAACATTCCACAAATATTTAGAAATTCTATTATCAAGGGACCCTGTACTTTCAGGATGCTGTTTCTACAAATGAAATAAAATAATAAACTCTCTGCATGTAAATCAGAACAGTGCATCATATTTAGCTAGCAATAAAACTTGCTGAAAATCCTTCCCAAAGCAACAAACAGCTACATTATAAAAAGCCCAGGGCAGCACAAAAGCCCTGGTAATAAAACAAATTATATAATGTAAATATGAGGCATAAATAAAAAGGCCAACTATTTTACCCATCCCAATACTGTAGAACATCTGAATATGACCACGTATTATCTTTTATCTTTGAAAGAGTCAT